GGTGCGGTCGGCTAGCATGTTGCGAACCATGTTAAAAGTAAAACGGCAAAAGTAAAAGAAATATGTACAAAATACGAAAATGGGCAAAGTTGGAGAGGAGCACAAAGACGATGCGGCCATCTTCACCGGCGCATCACCAATAAATAATATTTAATATTAATAATAATAATATTTGCCCTCTACGATGGGCACTGTAAGTGATGAAAGTGGGGGATGTTGGCTTATCAGGCGCCCGCAGCTCACAGCCAAAGTGCGAGCGTGGGAGAGGGCGCACCGGTACCGGCGCTGTTATTATAATCTGGTGCTAGCTGCGCTAACGGATATAAGAAGTAGATGTTTCTACAACCAGGGTGGAGGAGAGCTCTCCTGTCAGACTGAGAGGCTCAGTGAGGTAAAGGACTCTGAGGGTTTAGATAGTTCATTTTAGTCTTAAGTTATCTCAGTGGGTCTCAAACAAATATGTGTTTACAAATGATGTAAACACATATTTCCAAGGCACACCTTTATAATTATTAGGATAAATAAAAACCGGTTTGAAATCATTCCAATGTATACTATAGGACAGTAAACCAAAAATATCTTTAAAGTTGGAGAGATGCATAAATAAATGTTAACTGGTCAAATAAGATATAAATGAACAACAAAAAAAGTTACATTTATTTGTTATTGGCTATGGTAGGTTATTGGTTATGTTCACATTAGGGCTGTGCGATTATGGCAAAAATCATAATCACGATTATTTTGGTCAATAATTGATATCACGATTATTAAATACGATTATTCATTGACTTTGAAAACATCCATTTATTGAACTTTAAAACAAATACAAATAATAATCTGAACAGTGTCTTTTTAACTGTTGATTACCCTGAACGTATAATTCAACTGAAAAACCAATAAAAAAAATGATACATTTGTATTAACATTTAAATAAATAATATCAAAATAATAAATACCAATGAACAAGATCAATAAATATTTTGGAGCGCACTTCAACAAGCTACTAAACATATGTAAATATGATAAATACAAATAAATTAGACTAAAATGAATTAGATCAAATATGTTGCAGTGCAGTCACAACCTAGCAAAGCAAAATAATTGTTTTATTCGATTATGTTGTTTTCGTAATTGTGGCAGGCCAAAATCGTAATTGCGATTAAAATACGATTAATTGCACAGCCCTAGTTCACATACTTATTTGATTATTAAAATGTAAACCGATCTTTTTCATATGGGTGTTTTAGAGTTGTACCCCCTAGATCAGGTCTCTAGTAATTGTGAGCTCAAAGTGCACCAGATTGAAGCATTTTACTTTAAAATGTTCAAAACAATCTTCCCGGGGGGGCATACCCCTGGACCCCCCTGCGTGACGTCCACCCCCCAATTAAACCATGTTCATACAATACTGAATACATTTGAAGCCATTTTGACGTATATTACCTATGTCAATAAGTTTCTGTTTTTGTAGTGTCTTTGTCTTTTGTAGAGATTTTTCATTTATTCTTTATATATAAAATCTCACCTAAAATCTCGCCTAGGGCAGCAAATTGGCTAGAACCGGCCCTGGTACTAGGCCTCAAGAGCCTTTCTTGTGCTGGCAGACACATAGAAACAAATTGGCGGGGCGCACTTCGCACGTGCACACACTAAAAAATTCCACGCGCTCTGCGCTCACATTATGCTGGGCCCGTGTACCTTAGCACCGCTGCTATGACTCCATCCTGGGGGAAACACTGGGCTTGGAGGAACCATGTTTTAGATCTTTTTACTCCATACATTAAACTGATGATATATTTTGGTGCTTGGATATTGATCTATCGGAGAAACAATGAGAAAATGTTAGCGGCAGCCGAACAGCGTGCAGGAAGAAACTCAACTAGCACTTTATCAGATGAGAGGGGACACTGAAGAAATCTTAACCATGAGAAACTGACTAAAACTGCCATGATCCATTGCTGTTTCATCACCACACCAATATCCAGCTTTCACAAATGTTTCAATAGAGACCCAGAAAAAATGAAGACTTAAAGGTGGGGTATGTAATTTTGGAGAAACCAGCTCGAGTGCGCTAGAATTTGAAAATACACATCCGGACAAAATCTGCCACTTCCTTACAGAGCCCCTCCTCCAACACACACGAATGCGCACATGACCAATGAGGGCACAAGATAAGTTTGTGCACAGATGGAAAGCTGACAGGCAGGTAGGCCATCCAGTTATTTTAGCCGGGCCGGCTAAAATGATTGGTCGTGCTTTTTACAGCACTACGGCTTCCACAGATGACATTTTTTTTATGGATTTTTTGTCAAAGCACTTAAGATATTCATTGCTATCGGGATGTTAAGAGCATTCCATGGAATATAACAAAAAGTGTATCTCGAGCCGGTTTCTCAAACTTACCTACCCCACCTTTAAAGGTCCCATGTCATGGCCATTTCCACTGATCATAATTCCATTGTTGAGGTATACTAAAATAGATTTATACTGTGCAATTTTCCAAACTCACATTGGTTTCGCATACAGCATCTCTGTAAAGTATGTGTATTCACCGGGATTCACTCTCTGTCCTAAACGGCTCGTTGGAGCTCTTGCCCCCCCTCCCTGTGAGCCTAGTGTGCTCCGATTGGTCAGCTCGGCCACTCTGTTCTGATTAGTCAACCACCAGAGAGGCTCGGCCCATGTCTAACAGTGCTTTTTTCGGCTCGCTCTCAGCGGAACATCAGTCTTATAATGGCGTCGGTACAGCCGTATATTTTATACGCTAACTAACCGAACTGTACCTACAACTGTTGTTATAGAAGAGTAAGTTATTTTTACATGTAATAAACTACTACTGTTTGATGAAAAATCAAATCATGGTTTGCTATATATATATATATATATATATATATATATATATATATATATATATATATATATATATATATATATATATATAGGGATGCTCCGATCGATCGGTCACCGATCGAGATCGGCCGATACTAACTCTCTACCGATCGATCGGTGCTCTCTAAACATGCCGATCGCGAGAGCCGATCGCATGACGTAAAATACATGACACTTTTCTCTGTGCGCGGCAAAACAAGCTCGCCAAAATGGCTTCACCGGTCTGGCATTATTTTAAGGTGTCCGAAAAAGACAGTAAAATTGCGATATGCAACGTGTGTGAAGCAGAAATCCTGCAGCTCCACCCCGAAACACACAAGAGTTAGACCTAACACACTTAGCTATTTGATCTACCTCTGGAACAAGCTAAACTAGTTATAAATATATTTATTCTTCACTGTCGGGTCACTCATTACTGGATCAGTGAGCTGCATGAGATACTGACGGGCTGTCAGGAGAGAGAGAGGAAAAGAGAGCGCTTCAGCTCATTTCTCCCGTGTTATTATCCAAAGTGAATGTAAACTTGAATAATGTACATCATTTGAATGTAATAATTATGTTGGTTGTTTGTGGAAGCGCCAGTGAATGAGCCCCATTAACTGAGTTTTAAACATCGCTTTAAATGGAAGATTTAAAGTGATGTTTAAATCTTCCATTTAGGCCCCGCCCACTCGATCGGATCGGCGATCGGTATCGGCCGATACTGATTCCGGCGATTGGCGATCGGCCCCAAAATTGGCGATCGGAGCATCCCTAGCTATATATGAATGATATGTTATAGGAGCAAATAATTCAGGGAAGAAAGGATACTAAGTATTTCCATCAAACTTTATTTTTAGAAATGTACAAAATGAACATGTGTAAATATACATATATATACACTGTATATCATCCATTCCTCCCCTTATAGGCGTTTTCGGCATCTTGCCTATCGCAGCTTTGTAAACTGGTGCCTGGGCTTTTTAGGACGATGCATCAGAGTGGTCATCCCGTGTGTGTGTTGTCCGCCAGATACGCCAGGAGTTTCCTGATCTGGCTGGACAAAATCAAATGCAAATCACAAAATATTAGAGAAACTTAGTTGTTTTAGATTTGTTAGTAGTAGTTGTGGTAGGAGTGTGTATCTATCTAATCTATCTAATCAACACAGTTAGCTTGCCAGATAATATGCTAACCTACGTTTGCTAGTTGTTCAGTGTAATATGCCAACCTACTATGAAGAACAGCTAGCCTAGGCTAGCAAGAACATGTTTACAATTGCAATCTTATACGGGTAGTCTGCTACGTTCGGTCAGTCATTGTAGCTGGCATGAAAACAATGTTTTCCCTAGCATGTCTAGCTCTAGGTAGCCTTGTTGTTTAGCTATGTAGCATACACGCTATGAACCGTAGCTCGGTAGCATACACGCTAGGAACGCCAACTATAATGTACTGACCGTACGGTAAATCACCCGGAGTATACTGTCTATGAGTATTTTGTGTGTGAATGCAGACATTCTCCAGCTATGAGATACATGTAAGGCCATCTGCTAACATTGGAGTTGATATATGGAAACGCTAGCAACTTAGTTAGCCCAGTTAGCACTGTGTCAATGGCTTAGCAGCCCGAAAAACGTTTACCCATTCAAACAGTTGTGGTAGATATACCTTGTTTGTTTTAAACATCATAAATACACAAACAACAATGAATACTTACAGGTTGTGTACCCGAATCTCCCGCTGGTCCAAACAAAGTAGGAACAGCATCGTTCTTCAGTGCCCTACGCTGTACATATCCGGCATGAATCGCTGAAAGGTTTGGGAAGCTTTGTTTCGTGAAAGGCTGGCAGAGGGTGCGGCCATAGCTCTGGGCGTGGCTACTGGGTATCCCTACGTAGCGATACCCAGGAAGTAAACAATGGAAAATGAGAAATCTCCAACGAGGCGTTTTGGGGAGGTATTTTCTGTGTTAGAGTTTTACTCGCTACAGGGTGTACTTTGAGGGTTTTTTACTCTGCAGACCGTTTACATGCATAAAAACCTTCATAACACACAAGGGGATGGGTAATAACCGGAAAAGCATGACATGGGACCTTTAATATATGAACTAGAATACTGTTTCCTGTTCACAGGCCTCCCCAACACCATGCACATCCCGGGCAGCCCGCCTCAGTTCTCCAACATCGAGGAGATCGGTGTTGGCTCAAACAGGGCCAAGCGATACTCGTCCCAACGTCAGAGGACCGTGCCGGAGCCGGCGCCGCCCATGCACCTGGGCGTGATGGAGGGACACTACTATGAACCCAGTAAGACGTTAACGTGGTGGAAAATAACTCGACCCTTCAAAGCATCAATTATTCAGTCAATGACGCACTTCCTCCTGCTCACCAGCAGAGAGCATCAAAGATCAAGCATAAACAAATGTCTGTTGTTTATTCATTTGTTTATATAGAGATTTATTAATAAGAGTGCAGCACTGGTTTGATTCAAGATTTCTTTACACTTTGAATCCAGCCGAAACGTCCTGCTGACCAGTGAGTGTAGTTCACTCGGGAAAAGACACGTTTCTGTCGATATTTATGAGTACCTACACAGAGGACCAATAGATATGATTATGAATGAAAACTGGCTTGTTCAAATGTGTACACTATTTTGGCTCTTCCTTAGCCTCACAAGAACAGGAACATTTAAGTTTTGTAACTTTTATTTTTTGCAAATAAACTATTTCTGCAATCACTAACTCCAGCTGGAAGTTAATGTGCAAAACAAGAAAGCCAGTTTTCCCTGTTTTTCTTGTTTTAAAAAATTATCAAAAACGTAGATATCAACAGTTTTTTTGGATATCAAACTATATAATAGTTTTTGTAAATTGTTTGAGTATGCAGGGATTTATTTAAATTATTTTAAAGTGTAATATTTAATTCAATTTCCCTTGTAAAATGTAAGCCTTGTGCATGTAAACATATTCAATACTGTGGTAACATTCTTTTTGAGTGTATGGTGTTTTATAAGCTAGTGTGGTTTGAAAGTAGAAATAGGAAAAAAAGGAGTACAGTACTTGAGTAACTGTTTGATTTATTGTTAATAACCTCTCTCCGCCTGTCTCTCAGTGTCGTACCAGGGACAAATATATGCCCACGGGGATGGCCCCGCCCCCATCCCGCCGCAGAGCATGCTGGTCCAGCCTGAGATGCACATGCCCCACCCCGGTCAGTCTGTTGCCCTCTGCAGTTTTAAAGATAAAGAACTTGTAGCTTCCGGTCACTCATCTCCTCCTCCATCTTCTCAGGTCTCCATCCCCACCAATCAGGCGGCCCGATTGCTAACCCCGCCCTCTATGGAGGCCCACCAGTTTCTCTGCCGCCGCCGCCAGGGCAACCTCAGCAGCTGCTGCCTCCGCCGTTTTACCCACCGCCGGGGGTCATGACCTTCCCGTACCCCACCATGTACCCGACTCAACAGGTAGGAAATGATCATTTAAACCTCATCATTATAAGATAAATAAAGCTTTATTAATCAAAGATATTCACGTGTCAGAGCATCAATAAGAGTAGAAATCAGGAGAGGGCAGGTAAGAGTTCATACAAGGATAATTAGAAAAAAGAATCCAAGTAAAAATACAAATTACAACAATAAGATTAGGGACAACACAGAGTCGAGTTTATAAATATCCAGATATTAAGGAAGATAATCATGAAAACTTTTCATGACGTATCTGTGTGTTTAAATAATAACCTTTTGTGGAAAATATTTTCTTTTTTTTTACACAAATAGGGTAAACGTTTTTTTTATTGGTTTTGTTCCAATCTAATAACTTCCCACCTCATTTCATTCTGTTAATTTATTCTACTGATTTAAATATATACTAAACTATAAAACTAACACAAATGTTACCTCATTCAATGGGTTTATTCATTTGCACGTGTCCAATAATAAAGGTGATACTATACTATACATCTGATGTGAAAATATTTGATCATAAGATACAAACCAACAATAATGTGTCTTTCTTATAAAAAAACTACTTTTAGAAAAACCTAGAAATGGCAGCAGTTGTACTTGTATGGTTCAAGTTGTTGCTGCCTGTTACATAAAGAAGCAGCTTTGGCTTGCTGATTTTTATATCTCTCAAACTAGCCATTTGCTAAATAAAAAAGATAACCAACATAATATGTAAAAGTAGTATTTGTATAACAAAAATATTTGACATCACTTGGTTTGTCACTTATTGTCTAACAGTAGCATTATCCAGATGCTTTTAGAGAAAATAAATGTAATTGTGTTTTTTTCAAACCGAGAAGTAAGTTTCACTTGAATAATCAAATTCTTAAAAAATACATTTTCCGGTGATGTTTTTTTGGCACGTCTCATTTCAGTATATAGTTGTGTAAATGTTTGGTTCTGTTGGCTGGTGATAATAAAGTGTGGTGTCCCTCAGGGTCAGGCCCAGGTGTACGGCGGCGTGACGTACTATGACACCATGCAGCAGCATGCCATGCCCAAGCCCTCGCCCCCCCCGCCGCACCTCGCAGCCCGTCACCATCAAGCCCCCCCCTCCGGAGTTACGCTTCGCCTCTGAGTGACACCACTCCCTCACTTCCCCCCCTCGCCAACCAGTCTCAGCCTCACTCCCATCGGAACACTACAGGTGAGTCATTTCCTTTAAGTTTTTATATACGCCATTACTTTAAAATGATTTGAGTTGGCCTCTAAGCACTTCCAGTTCCGTAGCCTTGAAGTTTTTTTTAACATGTTTTTGTTAAAATGTCTGAAATAAGTGTTGAGGTGAACACAAGCTTTTTGTTTGTTCTACAAAATAGAATCAGTAATTAATCTGAATGAGGCTATTTAAGGTCATCACGCTGAAAATATGCCGCCTTTAGTTTAGTTAGCGACTGTGATGTACATTTTTACTTAAATTGTTCAATTAAGTTGTGTTTCTTTTTGTACATTTGTTGCTTTTAAAATATGGGAGAATATTCAAGGTTTTTCTCGTGAATTGACCACTAGAATATCAGGCTATTGATTACATTTTTTTCACTTGAACCCGTTAAGCCCCAAGCCTGTTTTCCAGGTCTCAGGCTCGAAAATGATATTCCCAGAACAAATGACTATAACTTCACTTCTAAAAGGGGTAAATTAATAATCTTTTTTCTCAAAGCAATGATAAACCTCTGGGTTGGATGTAGAAAAATCTGAATCAATATAGCATTTTTTTTTATTTTAACAATCAATTCAGATTGAACATGGTAAAAAAAAATTAAATTATAGTGTCCGTCCAAAGAAAAACATTAATTATAGTGAAAATCACCCTTGAATGATGGGATAGTAGACTAAAAGCTTTAGGAATCCAAACTATAACATATAAGTACCCTGTATCAAGATTGATGCAAAACAAGTAACATTTGACCTTTTTAGAGAGATTTAGCAAAACCACTTCTGGGGTCATTTGGGTGGATTTGCCATATCTCTGGAACCCATCGGTCGATTTTGATTGACACCTTTTGAATCGTTAGAGCCAATAGAATCGAGGGGAAGTTCCTAAATCCATCTAAACATTTCCATTGAGGAGTGAGTGATGCGTGCCCAAAACCGGAGGCTGGGTTGTAGCTCTAATAGCAGCTAATATGACATCTCAGTTTTTGACCAAAATGGAAGGATGGATTATCAGTAATCATTTTAAAGTTACACAGAGACATTGGATTAACCGTTTTTATGCCCTTGAACACAACTGTTGATCACAAAACAGCAAAGGTAAGACATAATTATCATCATGGCTACGTAAAGTGAAGTTGTTTTCTTGCTCTTTCCTGGCTGCTAGTTCAGTGAGTTTTGGTCGTACAGTGATGAGACTTACACCAATGGAATCTGTGGAATCTCAGCTTTCATGTGCTATGTTGTTTGTGCAGGTAAAATGTCGTAGAAAAGATCGCTTTTGCCAGTTATTTGCTAAAGTAGCCGATAGCCCGTTTTGCAAAGTGTTGATTTAGACCAGGGGTCGGCAACCCCTGGCACGCGTGCCACCGTAACCAGTGGCACACTAGGAATAAGAGTGCGACATATTTAAATTGTATTTTCGGATCCTGAACGAGACAAAAAGTGAGAGAATCTTTTTTCCTGAAACTTTCAGACTCTCTCTGCACAGAGGGGACACATGTTTATGTAGAAAAGACATGAAAAAGTGGATTTCGGTGACATTTGATCTCGAAGAATAAAAATGTTGTTTTTTTTTTCCGGTCAAATTGAATTTGAGATTAACGTTTTTTTTCCACGTAAGTGTACAACTGGCATCTCAGAATATTAAAGTGTTTTCTTGGAATTAAATGGTTTTTCGGGGGAAAACGCGTCATCTGAGGAAACAGTGTCTGAGGGCATCTTAATATTTAATAAACTATGAATGTTTTATATCCATGTAACGGGAAGAAACTCATCTAACTGATCTATTTTTTTTATTTATTTATTTTTTATATAAAACCCTCGATGCTAACGCTGAGAAAAATGCTAACAGATTACTGCACCGAAACTCACTCATAAAACCTTATTATTGATCTTTACTGCACGTCCAATATATCGACTAGCATCGTGAGATGACACAGAATGTCAGATGGGTGCATACATTATCACTCTATGATACGAACTCGCGACTTTATAAACAAAAACAGACATCAAAACATGTGGCGCTAGGTAGCTAAAAACGCTAACATGGCTTACCTGTGTCGTTGTCTGGTCAAAACTGGTCTTCAATGGCATTAAAACGATAAAAACGCTGCTGAAGTTAATCCATAGGTTAATCCAATGTGTCTGTGTCCCTTTGAAATGATTTCTGATAATCCATAAGCAATAAAACTGCTTTTCCGTTTCCAGATGTCAGAGCTAGAGTATAGGTTCACTCTCATGCAAAACTACATGTGCAAAGCCCCCACCTTTTTGTGTTAACGTTGGAGTCTATGTGAAAACCCCCCTTCGATTCTATTGGCTCTAACGGTCAGAAAGAGATGTCAATCACCAAAATCGACCAATGGGTTCCAGAGAAACGGAAAAACCGCCCATTTCCACCCAAATCACCCCAGAGGTGGAGTTTTCTTTGCTAAACCTCTCTAAAAAGGTCAAATTTCACTTGTTTTGCATCAATCTTGATACAGGGTACTTATTATATGTTGTACTTTGGATTCCTAAAGCTTTTAGTCTAATAACCCATCATCCAAGGGTAGTTTTCACTATAAGTAAAAAATAATTTTTGGACGGACACTATAATTTACAGTTTTTTTTACTATGTTCAATCTGAATTTTCTTAAAATAAAAAACATCTATATTGATTCTGACTTTTCTACATTCAACTCACAGGTTTATCATTACTTTGAGAAAAAAGATTATTAATTTAACCCTTTTAGAAGGGAAGATATGGTCATTTGTTCTGAATGTCATTTTCGAGCCTGAGACCTGAAAAACAGGCTCAGGGCTTAACAGGTTAAATTTACAAATGTATTGTAAGGTTCAAGTTTTTCCAGTGAATTTAAATCTAAAGGACAATCCAACGTAACTTTCAGTTCTAGTGGAGTATTTTCAAAGGGATCATTTTGTACTTTTACTGCAGTATAGCAAACGATTACTTCCTCCACCTCTGCTTCTGATTGCATTTGATGAAAGTGTTGTGGGAGAACTTTCAGCCACTGTTCACACTTTTTTATTTCTCAGTAAAAAATTCGAATTATTCGCCGATAATAAAATATTTTTGTTTTTGTGTTTTGTAGGAGCCGGGTGGGGGGTCAGTGAGGAGCTGCGGTCCCCACCAACACTGTCCAGGAAGCGGGGGGGGACTCACAGCAGGAACATTCTTCTTCTTTTTTTATCTGCATTATTTTTTCGTTTTCTCCTCTTTGTTCCCGCCCCTGTAGCAGTGAGGCAGACGGCTCTGTAACTCTGGTTTGATCCCACCAACGTGTCTTTGAGCAACAACAAAGCTGAACCTGGAAAACCCTTTAGAAGCATTTAACATGGCACAGTGGCACGGACGGACTATTGTTGTGAAAAGCATTTTTGTTTGTTTTTACGGCGAAGTGTCCTGTTGAGTCGGACTGAAGCGGCCATATAAACGGTTTCTTTTTTTGTATCAGTTTATTCACTCTGTATTTCAGCTAGTCAGTTTATTTGTCATTTTAAAGTAAGCAGAGTTAATGTGCGGTTGGAGAATGGGTTGAGTCTGAGTGCAGACGTTTCCCATTACAGCTCACTTAATAGTTTCTGATGTTTCGTCCCTTCACACTGACAGGCAGTTCCTGTATTAAAAGATCCCAGCATTTATTACTATAAATGACTTTCTCAAAGTCAGAGGTTATGTTATTAAATGTCATATATTCAATTTAACACGATGTAAAACACAAAAGAAGCAGATGTTCATATTTGAGGATCAAAATAATCATTCCTGTGGTTATCAAATAGTACATGTTAAATCAGCGTTTAGTACGAAACCTGTAAGGAAAGTGATAAATATTTTTGTTGGTGATCTATTTTTTAATTCTGATCGGGTTGCCCCTGTTTTATGACCTGCGAGTTATTTAATTTTTTTAAAACAATATTAGCAGCAGTATTCTTCGCATTACAAAAAGATTAGAAGTTCGAAATAAGAGTTCACGAGAATAAGGTTGTAGGTTAAAAAATAGCGAAGGGGGCAGTGTTAAAAAAAACAATTGCAAAGTTGGTAATGTAGGAGAGAAAAAGTCTCACATGGTTTAAGTGATACATTTAGTAAAATCTCTGACAAAAGAAAAACTCTGATAAATGTGACATAACGTTCCAGGGAACATTTACATTGTTTTTCTCGTAATTTAGAAATGTTTTCTAGTAAACTTTTGGGTCACTTCTTTAGTTTTGTTTCCAGAAATGTACACGTTTGTTTCCCACTTTAATATAAGACAGCAGCTAGATCCAACTTTTCTTTGCTAAAAAAAAATACAAATGTACGTGAAACAAGAACGTCACACAGAGAGACTGGAAGTTTGGATCACAGTTGTGAAAGCTTCTAGAAACATTCTGGCAAAACATTTTTCCATTAGCCACTACGTCAAAACCATTTAGCTCAGACTTTAAAAGTTGGTCATCTATTCATTATTATCCCCCTTATCAAAAACATCTTTTTATTTTTTATTTCCAGACGGCAGCTTTTTCATCGAGCAGAGTGAAAGTGTAGTCCGTCTGAAAAGCGTTTATGTTGCTGTATATAAAACAATCTAAATGTGTATATAGAGGCTTGAACAGATAAAATAGAGCAGTAAACATATTCTAATAAAACTACTAGATCTGATTCAGAGCAATCGGCAGGGACCTCGAATGTTAATGGTGGATTTAATTTAGAGACGACAAAGGAGCTGTGTGGCTTTAGCTATGATTTGTATGAATACTTTTCCTTGTTTAATTTTAATACCGTTTCTTTTTTATTGTTAGTAAATGCAGGAATGCCATGAGGATTTAGAAGTACACTGAGGAAACACTTTATCTGACAGAAAGTATTCATCGTTTGTTTGTCCTGCAACAGAAATACACTTTCAGAGATGGAAGTATAACCAGAATTAAAGGGTATTTCTCACCGTTTCTCATCTTCCAGCTCTTTATTTTACATTTAAGGTAAAGAATTATGTGTTTGTGG